GGGTGTTCAAAGCTCAACTGCTCATCTATGGAAGTATTGTCGGGCAATCCCAGCCTTCCTTTCACGTGAAGATTGTCACTTCAATGGTACTTGCTACGAAATCCAAAGCTGTTTGACTTGAGCGACTAGGCCAAATGACGCCTAAGCCTTTGGCAACCGGCACCGCCTTCGGCAAATGCCCAAAGACAGAAACCACCTCAGGAGGTTCAATGATTCTCGACTTTAAGAAATACTCGACATGATCCAAATGTTGCCTGCAAGCATAAGTTGCATTGCACACCATCGTTGTCCTGCTTAGTCCCGGGCATGATGAGGAGAGGATGGTCGTCATGGAAGGAATGCTTGAAGCATCTTTTTCACTGGGAAGCGTGGCCAAAAGCCAACGCAGTGGATCTCCGGATATGTTTGGATAGGTGGATGCTCTGCCTGCAAAGCTCATTGAGTGATTGGAAGAGATAGCACAGATGAGGGTCTGCGGCTATGCAATCATGTCATCAGTGCCGGCAACTGCTACAGCTTGAGGTGTGCCAGGTTGATCAAACAAACCTGCTTAGCTTAGAAACCTCAAAGGTGCTGACCAGGTATCCGATGAGATCCCTGCCCCTCCGTCGCTTCTTTTTTCACTGAAACTGTCCAAATCGCTTTCCTAAAACTACCAAAGAGGCTGGACGTGGAGTCAACTCTCCGATTGCACTCTGAATCTTTGATTTGCTCCACCACCTGCCTCCACCACCTTTCAACAGTTTCACCCCCTGCGAAACCACCGCCCTCACATGTACTGCTCACGATGGGCCCCACTTCGTGATGTGTGCCGATACCTGCAGGTGGCAAAACTGTGAAACCGCCAAGTCACCCGGTGGATTTGGACCGGAGCAGGTTAGTATGAAGGGCTTAGCACCCAGAAGAAGTAAGCACGATGTTGCATGCAACTGGGCAATGGTTTATGTTCCAGTGATGGATGATAGGGGTTACTTTAGTATACTTTATTTATATAGTAACATAGTATTCTTCCAATGACGGGGAATTCTGTGCACATTGCGTCCTTGTGATACCATGATCCAAGTTTGCTTGCAAACCCTGGCTTGCGGAGATTGCCGGCGCACGTAGGAGCAAGGCAAGGCTTGCTGCCGGGGGTGTAGACTTTGCAAAACTCCTGCATCCAGTCGCAAGCAACAGCACCACATTGACTCTGCCGACGCAACAGTCTTCTACCATTTCCCCCCAGCAGACCTCCGGGTCTATGTTCAGCGTGTTAGTTCGGGTATACATCGCTGTGTATCGGTGATGCCCAAACTTTCACGGTCGGCCATTTCAGGGGTACGCGTGACGCGGTGTTGTGTGTGTCCTGCTCGGACGTGCGCCGTGGCTTTCCCAAGAAGCTACGCTCCAACTGGATGGACATCGTGAACCTGGCCGTGTCGATCGGTTTCTTCGAACCGATTGGGGGAGCCCTTTGGTGCTTGCACCCACAGGAGTAAGCGTCGGTGCTTAGAGGAGCTGAGATGGAGCTTGTAGAAGCATACAAGCGAGTCTAGCAGCATAGAAGGGACGGAACAGATGGTGTGTATAGTAGATTCGGTTGCCTGGACTCGATGGTTCCCACGAAGAAGTCCGCCCTGCACATGCTCAGCAATCCATTTGAGAATCTGTACTCCAAGCCCTGTGGAACATCTCACTTATCGTATCGGTCTCTAGACTAAGCCATTTCTAGCAACAAGGAATGACTTCAGCTGCTAACCGAGGTGCCTGATGTGCGTAAGGCTTTGCAAGTGCTTTTGGTTCTTGCGTTCATGATGAGAAGTTGGCCTTGCAGCAATCCAGGTCTCCACAATAGCCTGGAATCAATGGTTGAAACAAACAGGTTTGAGTCTGAACCTCAGACAAAGGTTTCTCACAGGCATCCATCACAAACAATGTTCATATGTCGAATCACCGCCTTGTTGTTCTACGAGCATGTCTTTTTGCTCTTCCATGTTCTTCCCAGACCAAAGGCGCGAAGCAACGCATGGCAGCTCTTTTTTGGATCAATTTCAATGCTTTGCTTGCCAACTTCCTGTATTGCGCTTCTCTCTACATTCTGGACTCTGCCGAAACAGCTGGGACATCCTTGCCCAGCACAGACTCTCTGAGAGAAAAAGACTCAGGCTACTTCAGTAGCCGTGGCATTGTGGCATGTTGTGGCTGGCAATTTTTACCCCGCCTTTTGCACATTTCATTTGCTTTGCAGATCTTTGGACTCTGTGTCCAATGAAAATTCTGGAACAAGCTCAACTCTCGAGCATCTTTTGTGGGCACAGACACATCAGCAAGAAACAAAGGACATCTGGAATCAAAGAGCTTGGTCTTTGCAGTCTTTGCCCACGGACAGGGGTGCTCTGTTTACTGCTTTCTGCAATGCCACTACTTCAGGTTTCGCCACTTCAGCCTCAGCTCTGAGGCTCACAGTGACACCTGAGGCACAGGGCTGCGCAGCGCAGGGCCAGCTGTGCAGCATGGCGGCACCCATCGCAGGGGGCGACTCACTCGGTGCGTCTCGGTGCGGTGCTTTTTGGGCGGGCGACTCACAAGGACACGTTCACACCACCCGTGAGGGTTGCATCACTGTGGCCTCCTAGCGGTGAGGGATGTGAAAATCCATGGGATGAAAAGAAGAATGTCCCTTGGACTTGGTCGTTCCGTGCAGAAGTTCAGAAGTCCCAAACTGTTCCGCAAGGTTTTCACGTTTTCACAAAACGGATGCAGAAACAACGAATTCGCGAAGTGATTCAGAGCTACGCTCCTTGTCGTGCACCTGCCACACCTGCAAGGACGGTCATGCTCGGTCGTGGCGAACAGAAGTAGACAGCTGACAAGTGATTTGCACAAGCACAAAAAAAAACAAACAAACTTAAACTCATACAAGCAATGCCGCAAGCTGAAAGAACTGACGCACAGCCTTTATCACTACTTTCCAATCACTAGCTTTGCCATGGAGCATCCATTGAGTTTGTGCTATTCTCATTGAGTCTGCGTCGTTGCTGCCACATGAATTGACACAAACACCTGCAAGGCTGTGCTGGGGCTTCAACGCCGGAGGCCGCGCAATCGCTTTGCTTCTTTTCCGGCCTGGCAAGCAGAGTTGCTCCAAGATGTTCCAAGTCACCATGTTCATTCTATCAAAAGTATTTCTGAGCAGAGTATGTTGGAGCATCTTGTTGATTTAGGTATGGGGCAGGGGGGCATTCTCTTTCAACATCCATTCCAGTAGCGGCTTGTCTCGAGTTGAACATCCAATCCGATCCAATCAAAAGTTACACCTCTGGACATCGTTACACTGTTGATCTGCGGTGGACAAAAAACTCGCTTGACCGATTCTGGCTCTGCACTTTGGGTAGATTCTGCCTATGCCAATTGGTTCCACACAAGGTGATGGACTATTGGGGATGGATAATGAGCTAGCAGCTAGCAGCAGCCCACCCAAACTCAGCAGCCGAAAACTATGCTTGCCGCTTGCCTGCACCATAACGTTCAAAACAAGTTGAAGAGTGTCATCGTGACCTCCCAATCAAGTAAACTGACGCGTTCTGGACTACAGTATAACAGAAGAAGGCACAGCACAGTAGTAGTCCAAACGTCGCAACGTCAAACTGATGTATTAAATGGATGGATATACTGTAAAACGTATATAAAATGATATAAACTGATATTAATCTAATCACCCTATGAAGAAACTGAGGAACGCTCCAAGATCATCATCAAGCTCGAAGATGCGACTGACCTGCCGCAGCACTGCCCATCAACTCGTAGGCTGAGTTTGGGAAGTGAAAGACCACAAAAACATACCTCATGGCATTATAGCAATGGGCTCCAACCTCATCTTGCAACATGCGACATGCGACATGCTCCAGTCAAAACACTTGGTGGGATCGAAAAAAAACCATCTGATACATTCTGAAACCATATGTAACAGGTGGACATGCCTGATATCGCCTGACATCCAACTTTCCTTCTCAACGAGCTAAAAGCAATGGGTCATCAAACTGACACGCGTCGAACCCTCTGTGAGATCGAGAAGACATTCTTCTCAGGATGTTGAACCTTGGACCAAAGATTCTCTGGACTCTGTGCCTTTGACCTTCCATCAAGTCTCAAGTGCTGGGTGAGCAACAACCAATGGCTGTCCGTCACTCCACTTGGCCAGCACCTTCAGAAACAAAGATTTACCCACATTGACATTAAACTTTCATTTGAACAATCCTCCAAAATAACGATTTTACACACGCAACGGAGGTTCAGATGCACGGAAAGGAGCGATAGACCCCCTAAGCTTTCTGCTCCCGAATCTCACCATAAGAGAAGCCACTGAAAGAAGGGAGGAAAAAGAAGAACGGAAAAACACGGTCAGTATCAAGACGTGGACTGGAGTCCTACAGCTTTGGACCGCAAATCGGCGACACCGGCCGAAGGAAGTCAAGCGTGTTGATCCAACGAAGAAACCTAAACTTATCTAAATTAGTAAGAATGCTCCTAGTAGCGATGCCAGGAGCCCCTAGTAGCGTCTTTGTTCCTAGTAGTAAGGCCAGGAGCCCCTAGTAGCTTCTTGTTCTTTGTTCCTAGTAAGGCCACTATGCCAATCTTCCAAGGCTTAGAATGGTTCAATCATGTCAACTAAATTATATACATTCCATATACATTCCATACAGTGACACACCGACTTCTTATCGCATCTTCGGTGCCTTCGCGCCCTCCACCAGTGTAGATTTGATGCGCCGGCGCCTCGGACGTGGAATTCGGGTGTTCGAACTGCGGAAGGTCACAGAATGTACAATGGTTAATGACGCTACTAGTAACAAGGGCATCGCTACTAGGAACAAGAAGCTACTAGGGGCTCCTGGCCTTACTACTAGGAACAAGAAGCTATTAGAAACAAGAAGCTAAGAATTCAAAGGCATCTTCCATGGTTGGATCAACAATGGTTAATTCATGTGAATTAGCTAGCAAGTCCTAGGGGGGTAGATAGATCATGATAGATCATTGGTGCAGTGTAGTTGACCTGCATGAGAGTAGTTAATTCTTGATTCTACAACTTGACCACGAAAAGCTGGTCGGTTGGTGCAACCAAAGCACCCATTGATGGAGTCAACTCCGCAAAGGATTCGAGGACGGCTCAATGTATCCTGGAGCCAAGGGATCGTACCATGCCGCTTTTGAGCACAAACACATTGAGCATTGAAACTATGCCCTTGCCTTAGGGAAAAGCGTTGGTGGGGTCACTAGTGTGATGAAAACAAAGAACTGATTCTGCAAGTTGAGCAATGTTCTTCCAGTTGTTGTGCCTTTAAAGCTTGATTGTCGTTCATTGCCATGCTGTTGTTCCGTGGATCTAGCAGCATTCTGGGTCCTCAAAACTCTGGAAAATGGTTTGACTTCATGTTGCTGTGGTAGATTAAATCATATTAAATAATTCAGCTACATCTGAGCAATGCTGCGTGACCACCAAACCGCAAAAACAAGTCAAACCTGGCTGCGCTTCGTGCCCACGTCCAAGGATGCGAAGGTTGGACTCGATAAATACACGTCCTGCAGGATAATGATGCACCAAAGCCTCTTGTCTGGAAACACACCATTTCACGGTAACACAACAAACAGAAGACACAACAAACTGCATTTAGTTGATGTCCTCATAGGGTGTCTCATCCCCAACCTTAGCAGCTCAACCACAAGAATCACATAGTTGATTCAACTCACTGATGGTTTGATTTGGATGTCAGTCATTCAGACTTTGAACAACTGGAATCTGTTATTCATCAGCCCTAGACTTTGCCGGTGATCAGTGGCTCATACTCCAAATCTCGCCAAACCTGAGGCCAAGAGAATATAAACTTTGAACAAATCAACAATGCAAAAGGAAGCGGCAACTTGCGCCATCGCACCCTTGCATCACCGGCATCACAAAAGCACTAGCAGTTGCAGCATGTAGGCAGCCTGGGGCGCGCACCCCCTTACTCAGGCCACCAATGAAGGAGAGCAGCACTGCACCACCACCTGTTCAAAGCCGTATTCGGTGGGCTATCGGGGAATCTATCGAATCACAACAAATGCAAACAGTAAGCTGTGTGTTTGCATACATCTTTGGTTTCATGTATCTCCAGCAAAACATTGATGTCTCATGCAATATGTGTGTACAGTAATATTGCGTTCGATTGCGTACCCATACTCCATGGCCTTAAAGCTTCAATCAACTTCAGTGATTCATCCGTTTCATCCGTCTGTCGGTTCTGCGCCTTGATCGACAAAGTTGATGAGCCTCGAGATGCGCTTCTCCGAGGGCGTCCAGGGTGCCAAGACGAAGGCCACATCCACCTCATGCAGTGCTCAATATGTGAGGTTCAGGTATGGGCACGGCGCAAAATGGCGCGCCCAAAATGAGCAAAGTATTCGGCAATACCGGAAAGTCGATGGACTTCTGAATCCTATATCTCAGCCAAAGCCAAGGGCTGGTGGCTTGGAGGTGTTGCACAATCCGCTTCTCCACAAACCACAAACCCAAAGACCCCTCAACCCTGTTGACATCATCCGTAGTGACCGACACAAATATATTGTTTATTATTGTTTAATCAAATATCCAAACTGTCTCTGCACTTATATTATAGTCTCTTGGAGACCCTATCCCCAGGTCATGTCTGCGCCTGTTCCATGACAATTCCACTGTCAGGGCTGTCACGCACAGATGTTGGCCTGAAGCGGACTTGTGACTTCAGTCAGCCATTGTCGGCCAAATCAGCAAGGAAAGCTAGATGCGCGATCTGTCTTTAGGAGACATGGCCTGAAACTGGCTGAGAAAACTCGACTCAGTGCAAATGGCCTAAAAGCCTGTCAAGCTAGGATAAGCCACAGTAAGCTTAACAACCAAGAATAAAGCTACCAAAGTCCGAATCCCCGAAACAGGGAATAGGACTCATAGGACTCTCCAAACAGAGGATTGGAGTCTTGTTGAAATCCAGGTCCCGCCTGGCGAAGATATTCTCCAGAATGGCTTTGCCACCCAGGAATTCGATCTCTTCCGCCACCAGGGTGGCAGCCTCAATATGAACGCTGTAGAAAGCCGCGTTTGAATGGAACAGTCTGTGTTGGTCTGCATGATTAGCCTGCATGTTTTCTTGCAAAACGCTGCGCATGCTGGCTGCTGGAATGTTGGCAATCTGAGTCCAAGTGGCGGTGATGTTGCGCTCTACATCTTGGTCATTGCGTGCATCGGTGTCCACTGAATACATGACAGCACCTGCAGCCAAAAGGTTTCGTAGAGTGATGCTGTATAGTGTTGGCAATATTCTCTATCCTTGTGGTTTCAATATATAGGAGCAGGATGGAACAAGTGCTACATCATGCTACATCTAAGTCTCTGGCACACCATGTCCTGTCAAACCGTGGCGACTCAATTAATGCACTGAGACTCAGATTGAACACAGTGGAAGATCATGGTCAAGTCGCATCCACATCACAACCGCATAGATTCAGCCATTCGGAGGGTTGTCAAACGGAATCATTCTTTGCACACCACTGTATGCTCAAGAGAAAAAAAAAGAAACACACAAAAGAAACATCGTCTCAGCAGGTTCTCTCTGTCCTTAAAGGGCTTCCGTGGATTTGGAGGCGCAGGAATGGGCCACCCTTCTGACAAGCATTGCTCGGACATCAAGGCCTCAGGCTGTGCTTGGAGAATTCGCCATGAATTCGGTGAATGAGACACACTGCATCAATGCTCCTCGAATATTGACCGCTGCGGAGAATGTCACTCACTGAAGGAAGCATTCAAACAAAGGGACATTAAAAGGGAATGTAGGGCCCCCCTGTACAGGGACCTTCCCCTTTTAATATAGTTTTCTTCTCATAGTCAATAAGAGCGAAAAAGATCGTTCCGCCTGCAATGCGTGATTGCCATTCCGGTTGAGGACCTGACACACACAGGGTTGTGCCATTCAGAGAAACGCACAGGATTTACAGAGACTTGGATGAGTCACACAATCATATACTGTACATCTTGGTGCAGGTGGTGTCTTTGCGGAAACACGTCCAACGCTGCACTGGCAACATAACATAATCAATAGCAAAAATTGGGTGCCTATAAACCACACCCAAGCGCACGCTAGCTAGTTTGAGAGCAGTGAACTTGTTCCTGCCTTGGACCAAATCAAAGTCATCCTCGGTATCATCTCAACCTGGGCGGCCCTCACCTGGCACTGAACATCATCGAGACGTTGCCACTTCTCCAAAGCCAATCATACATGACAAGGACCCTCGGGTGTCCCGACATCTCTCTTTCTGACACATTGAGAAGCAAGCTTCGACCGACCCGTGTATCTTTAGGTCTTATGACCTCGCTGGAGCCTTTGAATTCACTGCAAACGATCCTACAATATCACATGTAAAAGATTGTAAACATGTGTAAAGCCCATCTGCCCTCGTAGTGCCCTGGGCCGCGCCATGTAGTTGTTGGAAAGGGCACCGAAGCGGATCGCCCTCAGCCAGAGGTACCGGCAGAAGTTGTTTGGACGCAACTTTCTTTCTGCCAACCTTGATCTCTGAAGGCAAAGGCTTAGATTTACAACGAGCTATTACGGTGCCCTCATGCTAACTTAATTTCTTGAGTGAAGCTGTACATTCAACCAAGCGAGGGGGTATGCACAACTTTGTCATGAGATAAATACCTGTAGGCCCTGTAGGCCATACCAAAAACATGATTACTGGACGTGACCCGGAGGTCTGAGCCATCTAAGTCCATGGCTGCCACAGCTGTTGAGCCTGAAGTTGGTAAAACAAAGAAAACAGCAATCACTTTCTTGAGAACTCCTCAGACTCTCGGTGAAACTCTGTGACTCTCAAGGTTCCGGGACTCCTGACTTTGGACGACCAGAGACGAAAGTGGGTCATCTCTTCAGCAGAGAGCCCAGATTCATCCAGATTCTCTTCCGCCGAGGCGCCAGGCAAAGAATAAAGAAGACATACTTAGAATAACTTAAGAGATCAACATGATCAACCAGAGCGGAACAAACTCATCGTGACCTATCATGACCTGTCATTCTCAGCTCTTTCTTCGCAACATCTCTTCTGACCGGTGGAACCTTCCGGAACCGAAATTGAACTAGTAGAAGCTACTAGGTGGAGGCCATCGCTACTAGATGCTACTAGTAACAAGAAGCGTATTCAAACCCGCTCCGCCCGCTCCGCCCGCTCCGAGAGAGCGCGCATCGCTCCGGATCACCTCGTCACCTCGCCCACTGGAGATGAGGGAGCTGGCCATTTCCACCACGAAATCGAAGATCTGGACAGCAAAAGGAAGCTACTAGTAACAAAGGGCATCGCTACTAGGAGCAAGAAGCTACTAATAGCTCCTGGCATTACTACTAGTAACAAAAAGCTACTAGGAGCAAAGGGCATCGCTACTACGTGAGAAGGGCACCAGAGGTGACACCGGAGGTGACACCCGTGACTCGCACTGAGTGAGTGGTGACTGAGTCGTGCTTTCAGTCGAGTCCGAGGAGTCCGAGGAGGCGAGGTCAGTCTGAATCCTGGATGATGCAGGACGGTGGTCCAGGCAAACAGGTCTCTTCGATTCACTGAGCTGGAACGTGGCTGTGCCTCATTTTCATGCACGATGGAAATGTCGTCCCGGCGCAGAATCTGCGACAATGTAGCAGGTGGAAGGCGCCTGAGACATGATGCAGTGCTGAAACCTTAAAACCCTTCTTGATCTTCTTGTGCCTCAGTAAAAACAATGAAAGCAATGTGCATGCTCCCACACATGCGTTCTGCAAGAGTGGTTGTCTTGAAGCTTTGTCTCTTAAGAGCCTCATGCAAGCCATCTGAGTTTCCAGGCAAAAGGCTCTCCACCTCGTACTCATCAAAATGCTCGGCTATCACATCGGACGTCGCTTTGATGATCCTGAACTGTTGCTAAGCTCCGTTCTTCGATTCAAACCTTCTCACAGCAACAACTCCTTTCGGCGGTTGGGGGCTGGCAGGAGCTACAAAGCAGCCAAGCCCATGGTTGGCAGAAAGCTTACTTTGTTACTGCTAAGTGCAAATCTGTAAATCGATATCAATTTATGAGACCAAAATAGACCAAAGGTATCTGAGATCGCAGCTGGTCAGCCAGTGGACCACCGAGCAATGAAACGCTGTCGGAGAGAATCCTGGCTCCAGCTGGGTGGGCTCTCCGACTCTCCGACACCGAAAGTCTAGTTGGATCATGTTGGATCCCCATGGCCGTCAGTTCCTCTGGAACAGGCAGCTGTTCGTTTCTCGAACATCCATCGGCGACGCACGGAGCGGTGGGACGCGGACGTTCATCGCTCGCTCAGCTCCCCACCTCGGTGCTGAGGGAATCGTGAGGATCTCGTTGATGCCCTCGACACCTGGGAGTCGGACACTGAGTCGGTCCAGGAATCCGACCAATGATTCACCTGCTCCGACTTGGAAGAATCGACGAGGTGGAACAAAGAACGGCTTGAACCCTTCAGTGCAAAGGCCAAAAGATTCGAATTCAGGCCGTTGGGACACTCGTCACCAGAAGCAAGTGGCATTAGACTCTAGGCTACAAGTATTAGGCTGTGTGACTCTAATGTGGTCCTCTGATTAATAAACGCCCCTAGACTAATGTATGTTTTTTTCCCTGCACTGATTGATAAAGGCCCCCAGAATAATGTATTTCTTTTTTTGGCAGGGATAGTTGTAGTGGAATATGTTTAATTGTTATAGTTTACTTTCTCCCTTTTGAGTTTGCTGGGATTTGCTTATCTTACAGGCTTTTGGATGGAGATGTCTATTAAACATTTGAAGATTTCCATTGAGATTTGATGCTTTTGGAGGCTTTTGGATGGAGATTTCTCAAAATTTAGAGATTTCCATTGAGATTTGATGCTTTTGGAGGCTTTACTTACCTAAGGTCTTTAGTCTTTAAGCTTTCCAAAACTTTCAAAGGTCAGTGCACACTTTCTTTACAACATCCCTTATTGAAAAGTATTGAAAAAACAAAAAAAAAATCATTCAAGCAAAGGGGGTAGTCCAGCAAGCAGCTTTCTGACATTATTTAGGGGGGTCCTAGAATAATGTCTAGAGATTTCAGGCTTCAAAAAATATGTTGCTTTAAGTAAACGTGTATTCATTCCCTTTCTTTTCCTTTTGATTTGCTTTACTTACCTAAGCTCTTTAGTCTTTAAGCTTTCCAAAACTTTCCAAAAGTCAGTGCACACTTTCTTTACAAAACCCTTATTCAAAAGTATTGGATGCTTTTGAAGGTCTTTGGATTCAGATGTCTATTAACATATTGAGAATTCCATTTCAACTTTATTGATTTCCTTTTTTTTAGTATTCCAGATGTCTTCAATTTGAGATTTAATTGATTCCCTTTTATTTTTAATATTGCCAGAGAAGGCCAAGAAGATTTTTTAAAAAGGGTTCTAATTGTTTTTGTCATTTGATTAGTTTTCTTGTAGATTATATTGGAGGCCCTGGTTGTTGAGGGGGGGGCCGGGGGGGGAGTTGATTAATCAAGGGACTACATTATCCGTGTGCGGGCTGGGTGATATGTATTTGCTGCCCGTGCCCATTTGCTGGGCCGCTGAGTTTTCACCCCGACCACTGATTACAACATGTAGTGCATGTGCATTAGCGGTACTTGTATCAAATTGCGCTGGTTGATAAGGCTGAGTTTCATTGGTGTGTGCAATCTGACCCTGTCACGTATGCTGAAGCACAAACACACCGAGACATTCAATGTTGGCTGAACTGTCAAACTGCATGTGTGCACAGCATCAAAGCAAAACTATGTGGAGATGGTGCTCACAATTGGTGTTGTGCTTGTTGGCACTCGACTTATTGGATATGTTAAGCCAAGAGACACCGAAGGAAAAGCGATCTGATCTGCAATGCATCTGCCTTGGCTTTGCAACTTCGCTGCTTGGTGACTTCCACGAAAACTGCCTGCTCTATCCATGCTAAAATATCAGATCTCGACTCAAATCTAGACATTGAAATCAAAGTGGTTTGTCAAGTGAGGGGTCGGTTTCTCCCGGTTCTTGCGAATATTCTCATGAATGTTCCTTGTTTCCAGTCGCACCCTGTCATTGTTCTTCAAGACCCTCAATAGAGGTTTAAACTGCTCGACCGAGTCTGATGCACACCGCAGAAGTGGCACGGCATTCTCATCATTGAGAACCAACTCCTGCTGCTTTCATTTGTGTCAGCTGTCAGTTCAAACAGAACCCGACTCAGC